AAAAGGCTGTGGCGTTGGCATGATAATGGGCCCAAAGTGTGCCAAGAAAATATCCCCCACACCATTACACCACCAGCAGCCTGAACTGTTGATGCAAGGCAGAATGGGTACATGCTTTCATGTTGTTAATAAGAAATTCTGACCCTACCATCTGAATGTGGCAGCAGAAATCGAGACTCATCAGACCAGGCAACATTTTTCCAATTTCTATAGTCCATTTTTGGTGAGCCTGTGTGAATTGTACTGTAGCTTCAGTTTCCAGTTCTTATCTGATAGGAGTGGCACCTGGTGTGGTCTTCTGCTGCTGTAGCCCATCTGCTTCAAGGTAGGACGTGTTGTGCGTTCAGAGATGCTCTTCTGCATTCCTCGGTTGTAATGAGTGGTTATTTGAGTTACTGTTACCTTTCTATCAACTGAAACCTGTCTGGCCATTCTCCTTTGACCTCTGACATCAACAAGGCATTTGAGCCCACAGAACTGCCATTCACTGGATATTTTCATCATCATTCTCTGTAAACCCTAGAGATGGTTGTGCTTGAAAATCCCAGTAGATCAGAAGTTTCTGAAATACTCAGACCAGCTTGTTTGGCACCAACAACCATGGCACATTTAAAGTCACTTAAATGCCCTTTCTTCCCCTTTCTGATGCTCGGTTTGAATTGCAGCAGATCGTCTTGACCATGTCTATGTGCCTAAATGCATTGAGGTGCTGACATGGGATTTTTGATTAGAAATTTGCCTTGTAATAAAGTGGCCTGATAAAGTGGCTGTATACAGACACACTGGTGTTTTATAATTAAACCATATACATTTATACCCGCTCTTGCTCAGCAATGCACTTTAATTTTGTGTGTGTGTGTGTTTGATTTAGATTAGAAATACATTGTCTTTATATTGATTATGGCATGTGGTATTTTATAACTGCAGAGACGTTTAAAAAAAATGTAAACATTTAAAATTAGTGTACTCCATAAACAACAAACATTAATATTATGTTAAAAAATATATGAATATGTATAATTTAATATGTTTATTTGTTCACACTCAACATATGCTGCATAAATGTAGACATCAAAAAATGTGTTCAGTTTCTACATTACAGCCGTAACATTATAGCAGTTATTCAGAACAGATTTGAGTTTCAAATGCGTCACCTTGAGAGTCAAAACATTCTGCATGAAGTCTAGTTCTGAGATAAACATATGTAACCATTTGGTTCCACGTTAAAAAAAAAAACAAAACAAAAAAACGTTGCTCCACTATCAGGAACTACGCTTCAGAGAATAAAAATGTTCTCACAGGTTTCAAAATACAGATATGTACACCATATAACGAGTAAGCTGAAAAGTATCTGGTTTTTATATCTATGATCTATGATAAATCATGCTGATAAAACACCAGACGCTGAAGCTGTTATTACCGCCTTAAGGATTTCTGGAAATAACAAGAGATTTGATGGTGCAGTGGACTAAGATAAGATTACTTAATGTGAGCTGTTTGTTTCAAAGAATTAAAAAAAACACATAGACAAAATATCTGGCCACTTCTTCATACATAAATTTTATTTTCTCTGTTTTATATATATATTTATATAATATATATGTCATCATATTTACAATTTATTATTCCTCTTTTGTCAAGAAACAATAAAGCAAACAGCTTTTACTGTAATCAGTGTTTCCATTCTAAAGGGCCCAGAAGTTTTAGTCCAAAAGTGCTTGACCAAAAAAAAAGAAAAAGAAAGCTAACTCATTTCTGGTTTGGCTCAGGCAGATAGATGAGTTTATGGTATAATATAAAAAAATAAAACATTACAAATGCATGTTCTTAAACAACACCTCACTGCTTTACCAGTAAACAAGACCATAACAGACACCATGTCCTTTCCTCCATTAAAAAAAATCATTTTAGACCACTCAATAACTGGGAATTTGGTTATCCTATCTGCCTGTTTTAGTATCATAACATCTTAAAAACCTCTCTACAGCATTATCTGTACAATGATGTTGGTAATACAGTGGTCAATACTAAGACAACTGGTGATGTTTGAACAGTCAGTTTGCAGACTCGAAGAAAAGCACCTGTTTGTTAGTCAAAAATGTATCATGTACATTTGGCAACTATTAGTCCAACTTAAACATTATTTATCAACAGTTTAAAGGAACAATCTATTTTTATTGAAATGTTTTTTTGAAAATAGGCTCGTTTTACAACTTCTCTAGAGTTAAGTGTTAAGTTTTAGCTGTTTTAAATCAGTTGATCTCTGTGTCTGGCAGGAGTGCTTTTAGCTTAGCTTAGCTTAGCTTAGCATATATTATTAAATCAGATTAGACCATTAGCATCTTGCTTTTAAAAATTCAAGACATAAAATAAACAAAGCTGATTTAACATGGCACTGTTAACAAGTTATCTAACTGAGCAATATTTTTGGCTCTGTGTAATAAAATTATCCTTGCTGCAGTCACGTTTCCTTGATCATTACGCCAAATTGAGTGTATAATTCCTAGCCATAGCGACCTAAAACTTATCATTTTCTGTCAGAAAGACAATGTAACTACAGAAGAGTCAAGCTTTAAATAGGAAATCTCTCAAAACTTAACCAAAAACTTTATGAAATTTTCTGTGAGATGCTAATGGTCTAAACCAGGGGTGTCTAAACTCGGTTCGGGAGGGCCGGTGTCCTGCATATTTTAGTTTCAACCCCAATTAAACACCTGAACCAGCTAATCATGCTCTTTCTAGGTATACTAGAAACTTCCAGGCAGGTGTGCTAAAGGAAGTTGGAGCTAAACTATGCAGGACACCAGCCCTCCTGGACCGAGTTTGGACACCTCTGGTCTTAATTGATTCAATGATTTATGCTAAGCTAAAAGCGCTCCTGCAAAACCCAGAGGTCAGCTGAAAAAAGCCTATTTACAAAAAAAAAGTAGTGTGTTCCTTTAATGTGTTAATGAGAGAGTTAGCGTAGTTGTAGCCTCACAAGACGATACATTCAGTAATGTTTAGGGATGTCATAACAACAATGTCTGATTGTCGACAGGGTTATGAAGTCAAATGCAATTGTATATATATGTCAGGGTTTGGACTGTTGTGTCTAGTTTGTAACTTGTGCAAAGTGCAGAGCAGCCGAGTATGAGAAGCAGACAATCTGATACATCGAGATTCCTGATAAAAGCTTATAGTTGTGTTAACTTGTGCTGCTACTGCTGTGTTTTTGTGCTAGAGTCTGAACTAGCTCTGCTGTTGTGCTTTTTTTTTAGTGTTCTTCGCTGATCTAAATAACATCGGATGCACATTAAAGGAAGAGCAAACCTAAGAATGAATATTCTGATGTACGTTGCTCACGTTCAAAATGCTCACACCTCTGTTGAACAATAAAAGTTAATATTTAAATAATATTCTGGCGGGTTTTTTGTCATTTACACAAGAAGTGAGTGTGGACTGGGGCTGTCAAGCTCCAATATGATTAAAAAAAAAAAAAAAAGATGAAAGTCATCATAAAAGTTAAATGAAAATAGCCTGGGCTGTTCAATACATGTTGTTAATCATTTAATAAACCTGACAGCCTAACCACTCTCATTTTATGGAAAATATTTGGATATTCATCTTTATAATACACATGTAAAACATTTTTTTTATTATTAAATAAAAAATATATAAAATTTTTGTAATTGTACGCACTTCTAGTGTTAGTTTCCAAAAATGTTATTTGAAAATAACTGTATAAATTATTCGCAAAAAAACACTTATTATTTTATAGTATAGAATAAGAATAAATTTTACAGTACAAAATAAGAATAAAGGCGTCACGGTGGCACAGTGGGTAGCACGACTGTCTCACAGCAAGAAGGTCCCGGCTGGGTCAGTTGGCTTTTCTGTGTGGAGTTTGCATGTTCCCCCTATGTTGGTGTGGGTTTCCTCCAGTTTGCTCGGTTTTCCCCACAGTCCAAACACATGCGCTACTATAGGTGAATTGAATAAGCTAAATTGTCCGTAGTGTGTGTGTGAATGCAAGAGGTGTTTCCAAGTGTTGGGTTGTGGCTGGAAGGGCATAAGTTATATATAAGTTGGATAAGTTGGCGGTTCATTCCGCTGTGGCGACCCCAGATTAATAATGGGACTAAGCCGAAAAGAAAATGAATGATTGAAAATAAGAATAAATGTATTTGATTAGAGTTACATATGTAAATGTATTTATGGAAGCTGGCTTAGTTATAAATGGAGAGTCATTTTTATTTTTATTCTTTCCTTCTTTTTTTATTAATTATTTAAAAATGAATATATTTTCTACTGCTGTACGTTTTGCATATTTGTGTTTGTATTGTTGTAAGGCCTAATAGGTGTTACTTTTATCTATAATGGTTTTTTTAAATCCAGTTTACTATTATTATTATATACATTTGAAGTTAGCCCGTTTCTTTTTTCCCCAACTTCTGTTTAATGGAGAGTAGATTTTTTTCAACAAATTTCTAAACATACATTTTCATGACTAATTTTTTAAACTGATTTATTTTATCTTTGCAATTTTAAAAATAAATGTTTAAAACTGCTTACGTGTATAATAGTTTATTTTGCAGTCATCCTAGTTTATTATTATTATTTATTATTTAATTGTAATTAATTGTTTTAGAATATTACAAGACTGTTATCTATAAATATTATCAAGAATGCTATCTATATATATATATATATATATATATATATATATATATATATATATATAGTCTTGTAATATTCTAAAATTAATTATTATTAATTATACATTAAATATATATAGAGAGAATTTTATTCAAATTACTGAAAATAAATAATTTCATGCAACACGATGGCTCAGTGGTTAGCACTGTCCCCTCACAGCAAGAAGGTCACTGGTTTCTAGTCCTGGCTGGACCAGTCGGCATTTCTGTGTAGTTTGCATGTTCTTCCCATGTTGGTGCGGGTTTCCTCCGGGTGCTCCGGTTTCCTCCACAGTCCAAAGATATACACTATAGGTGAATTGAATTAACTTAATTGGCCTTAGTGTATGAGTGTGTATGGGTTTTTTCCCAGTACTGGGTTGCGGCTGGAAGGACGTCTGCTATGCAAAACATATGCTGGATTAGTTGGCGGTCATTCCACTGTCGTGACTCCTGATGAATTAAGCCAGTAAGCCGAAGAAAATTTAATAAATTAAATAATTTCCCAGTTTTAGTTAACTGTGGTCAACTAAACAGATTTTCCTGTTTCACAGAATAAGTTTAGAGCAAACGACAGAATTTCCAGCATTAGGTGAACTCTCCCTTTAGATTTGTGCATCAGTTTGTACATTCTCAGTGCAGGCATTGGATCGTCAGTAGCAAAACCTTATGAAGTGAATGTTGAAGGCACTCTCTCCTGTCACATAATATCCACAAAGAACTCACAAGGATTGCCCATAGCGTGCTGAAAAGACTGCCGACTTGCTGTGAGTTCTGGTGGGACGTTTCCAATCTCCCGAATCGGAGGAGCTCCTGGCGGGCTGTTGCTGTTGCCTGCGGCTGTTTTGGGGGCGAGATGCGCAAGGCAGTAGGGAGGGGGTAAACCCGGCGGGCCATAAGAAGAGCCGTGACTCCTTTCGCTGTGGGCGCATGACAGATGACTGGGCTGGATGAATGGAGCATGGCTGTAGCTGAAGCTAAGGCTGTGCTGTGGGATGAGGTGGCACTGTGTGTGGCCGTGACTGTAAGCGGATTGGGACTGGCTGGCGGCCGATCGGCTGTGGCTTTGGTGGCTCAGCTGACTGGGTGCTTTTTCACCCCTTCTTGTGACCCATGTCACCAGTTCTGATTCACTCCCCCCACAGCAGGGTGCCTTGTGTTCCTTCTCTCGGGGCGAGGCTCTGCGTCCTTTGCCAGCGCTGGGGTTTGAGCCACTGCTTCTGCTGCCTGCGGAGAGAAAGAAACGTAATTGATTAGAAAAGACTAGTGTTATTTTGTTGTTGTTGTTCTTAAAGGAACACTCTAGTTTGACTTTTTTTTTAATCCGTTCAGCTGATATCCAGGCCTGGCATGAGTACTTTTAGTTTAGCTTAGCATAGCATAAATCATTGTATCGGATTAGACCATTAGCATCTCCCTCAAAAATTTCAAAAAGACTTTTGATATTTTTTTTTATTTAACGCTTCGCTCTTCAGAAGATAAAATGTGTACAGTCATAAAAATGACTGTTCAAACTACTTAAAATGAGCTGAAATAAATACAATTCTTGAGTTTTTTGGAGTAATTAAATTGTTCAATCCACTTAAATTTGTTAAACCTAATAATTTAACTTAATTCCTTCATGTTGTCCCAACTCAAATCGATTGTGTAGGACCCAGATTTTTTAGTGTACTAAAAGCAGCTAAAGATGAAATGTTCCTTGATCATTAGGCCAGAATGAGAGTATAGTTCCCAGCCATCCTGACCTAGAAAATAGCAACCTTTCATTTTCCATCAGTCATATAACATAAAGTAACTTCAAAAGCTTTAAATAGTAAAACTATTGAATCTCTCTTTTGTTTATTCTTGAGCAAATGCTAATGGTCTAATCGGATTCAATGATTTATGCTAAGCTAAGCTAAAAGTGCTGCTGTCGAGCCTGGAGATCAACTGAGTGAATTCAAAAAACTGAACTGTCTAGTTGTACAATTTTGAGAGTTGTAAAATACGCCTGTCTCCAAAAAAAGAATTAAATTGGAGTTTTCTTTAAAAGCTTATGCTGAAGTAGTGCTCCAGTAACAAAAGGGGCTGTGCAACGAAAAGTGAAAAAGCCATGTCACTTAGAAAATGAATGTCTGGATAATAACTGAAATGTCATTTATACTCTAACTGATAAAGTCGTTTTCCTTAAGAGTGAAAGTAAAACCATATGGTAACCAGACTCAACAAGGCCAACGACACTTTATTTTGCTTAACAGCTTTTCTTTGGTTAGCCGGTTGATTTCTGTTTCTGAAATGGTGAAAGCGCACAAGCTTTAACATTTTAGACCTTAGTTAAATCTGTATGTATGCTCCATAGTCTTCTTTTTCAAATATCTGTTTTATACTGTGCTTCAGAAAATAATTAATGTATGTACACTACATATGAAGGCACAATTATTAACCATCCTGTGAAAAATAAATTTTTAAAAAGTGCTGTTTAATGATGAGATTATTTTAACGTTTATCACGGTATTGTGACGACTGTTCTACAATAAGTTCTTTATAAATTTCTAGGTAAAAAAAAAAAAAAAAAAAAAAAAACAGTAAACATGTCATGGTAAATAATTATTCATTCATTTTCTTTTTGGCTTAGTTTCTTTATTAATCCGCGGTCGCCACAACAGAATGAACCGCCAACTTATCCAGTACGTTTTTACGCAGCGGATGCCCTTCCAGTCGCAACCCATATCTGGGAAATATCCACACTCATTCATACATTACGGACAATTTAGCCTACCCAATTCACCTGTACCGCATGTCTTTGGACTGTGGGGGAAACCGGAGCACCCAGAGGAAACCCACACAAACACAGAGTGAACATGCAAACTACACACAGAAACGCCAACTGACCCAGCCGTGGCTCGAACCAGTGACTGTCTTGCTGTGAGTTGACAGCACTACCTACTGCGCCACTGTGCCGCTAAATAATTAAAATAAATAAATGACTTCTGCTATCTTTATTAGTTTCAAAAGCACAGATTTCTTTTACAACACATTAAAAAACCTTACATATACCTTAGCAATGATACAACAGAACATTTGAACGGTTTTAAAATTTTGACTTTTTTGAAATTTTTTATTTGCCTTCACCTAAATATGAAACAAACATAAAAACCTTCCTTTTTGTCTCCTGTTTGTGTAACTTTTAATAGGATTAAGCAGCAGAAATTTAGTAAATTGTCTATTGCTCTTTCATTTTGATCTCTACTTTATATCTGTAGGCTACAGACTGCAGATATAGAGTTATTTCCATTCATGCAGACACTGAATGCCTGTGCTCGTGGGCACTCACTTGTAATCATTAAAGTGTGTTCAGCTTATTGTGTGAGACGTGACCAACACAAGCTATAAGCACAGTCTTCTTTGGAAAAGGGATAATTCACCCAAAAATAAAATTTACTCACTCGCAAGTTGAGCCAAAGCTTTAATAGGGTTTCTTTCTTTTGTTGAACACAGAAGAAGATATTTTGAAGACAGCCAAAAACCTGTAACCATTGACTTCCATAGCATTTGTTTTTCCTACTAGCAGTTAATGGTTACAGGTTTTCGTTTTTCTTCAAATTGTTTTCTTTTGTGTTCAATAGAAGAACGAAACTCCTACAGGTTTGAAACAAGTAAAGGATGAGTAAGTGATGATAGAATCTTCATATTTGGGTGAACTATCCCTTTCAATCTTCATGACTGGCGATTAGTGCGTCACTGCCTTTAAACTATGCTAAGATTGGAAGTAGGTCAGAATGACATGTGGAAAAATAGTTGACCGTTTCGGTGAGTTCATTACTCCCACTATTAGATAAGCTACAGCTGACGTCATGCAGCATCAGGTACATACTTTTTTTTGTCCTAGTTGATTCAGGCATTGCCAAGTAAAGAAAGGGGCACTGCATAATACCTTTTTATATAAAGAGAATCGGTCTGACTCTCATTCACAATAAAGATCAAGGATTGTACATGCCCACACAAGAAATGCAAATAAAAACACAGCATGGGAGTAACAAGGGCCATCCCAATGAATCATATGCCATGTGATATGAGAAAAAAAACACTGATAAAACAAGACGGCAGGGAGATCAGGTTGGGCAAGTGGGTGTTTAAATAAAAGTACTCGTGTTTCTTACCTAGATGAAAAGTCCATTCAGTCTAAAGGTGGCAAGCAAAAACAGAAGGAATAGAGAGAATTAAGTCATCTAACTATTCCTAATGTACCACACACTTTTACACATCAGAAAAAATAAAAAAAAAATAACAAGGCCTTCAATTTTGTGATGCTTCCATATGTTTCATAGGCTTGTTTTGTAGTCATTAAAGAAATGCTTAACCCAAAAATGTTTGGCCCATTCAAGATTTACAGTAGGTGGTAGAACATTAAAGATGATTTATATATCACATTATGGTCCTTGGGGATTCATCAAATGCAGTAAATCAAATAAACAAACAATCAAATAAAGTAAATTCAAATGAATACTCATGGCTCCAGATGATACATTGTAGAATTATTAAGTGAATGAATCAGTCCTGGCTAACTAACATGAACTGGTACCAACTTTGGATTGACCATTAGTTAAAATATTTCTTATTCTATTGAAGAAAAAAGTGACATCTTGGATGGCCTATTATTGAGTAAATTAACCCCAAATGTACATTTTTGTGGGAACTGTCCCTGACTAATCTAAACGCGTCTGATTGGCTACAGTATTTTTAAGCTCAACAGAAATGTATGGAACTGGTTAGAATGCTCAGAGCAGCAAATAAATGAATAAGGGTGCTGAATCTGATATTGACACTTCATGCACTTTCACATTCGGCTTTAATCATGATAGCGGTAATGGTTGAGTTCAGATGTGAAGGGACATTTTTGGCTTGACTATCTTGAATGTGGGGGACTTTTGGTCATTTTGATGGTATTTTTTGCCTCAGGCCTGGTTTATTTCTGACCCTGGTCCACTCCTTGCATGTTTTATGTCATCAAATTGCAGTAAGTTCATGAGATAAGTCAAATTTAGCGACTATTATGGTGTTTTTATGGGCTGCTATGAATTTACTGCTCAGAGCACACCTACTTAATTTAATATTGCTGTTAAAACAGATTTCATAAGAAATTAATTTACATCTATGTCTAATAATTAAATAAAAAAATATGGCAAATGTTGCAAGTCAACTCGCAATCAACTTGTTTAAATTCAAATGATTTATACTATATATATTCTCATAATTTTATATTACTCTACATTATTACTACATGTTTCAAATGTTATAATTACACTCACCGGTCACTTTACATCTTACTAGTACCGGGTTGGACCCCTTTTTGCCTTCAGAACTGTATTTGCACCCACAGAACTGCCGCTCACTGGATATTTTCTCTTTTTTCAGACCATTCTCTGTAAACCCTAGAGATGGTTGTGCGTGAAAATCCCAGTAGTTCAGCAGTTTCTGAAATACTCAGACAAGCCTGTATTTGCACCAACAACCTTACCACATTCAAAGTCATTTAAATCACTTTTCTTCCCCATTGTGATGCTCAGTTTGAACTGCAACAGATCATCTTGACCATGTCTACATACCTAAATGCATTGAATTTCTGACATGTGATTGGCTGATAAGCAATTTGTGTTAATGAGCAGTTGGACAGGTGTACCTAATAAAATGGCCAGTGAGTGTATATTGACAATAAATCAAAGTGTTAATAAATCGTTTTAAATTACAACATCAACAAATTGTTATTAATTATTACTCTTAAATAGCTTTAAAAATTATTGTGCTATTTTGGTGCTTTATTTAAAAGCAATAACATAAAGAAGTATCCTGCTTAGGTAGAAAACACCTAATACCTATATAAATACCTAAAAAACCTGTAAGAGTACCAGTTAATTAATAATTTTGGCTCATGATTCATGGGTAGTTTTTGTTTGTGTGTGTACTTGCGCTTTCAAATTGCATTACAATTTCTGCTTTAACAAAGTATCATATATTGACTTTTTTTGTCAGTAGAAATTGTTAGCTCATTACTAGGCCCACACGGAATCTGTGCACGCAGAAAGCCGCAGATTATCATCCCATCATTGAGTCTATTTATTTAGTTTTGTGTAAATGTGTGTAAATTTATATGGATTCAGTTTTTAAATTAACTTCAGTAATATTATTAACTAATATGAAAATGTTCATATGATTTACATACAATGCAGTTTGTAAAGAAATAATTTATG